GCTACATATACCATAAAGTATTATTAAGTATTGCAGTAGATTAAAAAAATACAGTCTCTCAGACATGGAATATGATGTTTTCAACAATTTTTAATTCATTGATTTACTTTCTGTCATACCTAAGCCACTAGTTATTTCAATACACCTTGTTTTCACCTGCAATTAAATGCACACTTATATATATATTTTTCAAAATGAGAAATCTTATATGTTCTTCTTTTTTTTTTTTTTTTTTTTTTTTTTTTTTAGAAAATCATGTTTTACCTATGGAATAAAAACCAATTTTATATTTCAATATATAGAAATTAAATATGCAATAGGAGAATAAATACTATTTTATAATTTATCTCAAACAAAATAATAATGCCATACCACACTCTTAACTATAACCATAAGCCATACATTTATCACACTTCCAAAAAAAGTTTATTTTGGTTCACTTCTATCATAATAAAGTGACAAATATTCTTACCATGATTACAGGTCAAAGTTTTATTTCTAACAAATTCGGGATTGCAGTGGATTTAAAGAATATGGTTCCAACAATTTCGTGCTTCTGCTTCCAAAAATAAAACAAAACCAGAATAGAGAGGAAAGGTGGAAATATCCTCTTTTTAAACTTTATTAATGAAAATGGAACTTCAAATTTCATGGGATTTTATTATATCATGGGAATTTCATTATATCCTATTCAGGGCTTAATTTCTAAAATTAGAAGTGCCGGAGCCCGATGGAAGACTGTTAAGGAGGAAAGAAAAAAATAATAAATAAATAAAATAGCTAAGTTAAAATAATTAAATAATAAATTTAAATTAATATTGATATTAATTTAATTTAAGAATTAATTAATTAAATAATTGAATAAATAATAAATTTAAATTACGAAAAAGGTAAAGAGATAAACAGAAATATAAAAAAGTTATTAAATTAATTTTAAATAGTTAAATAGAAAAAAAGTATTGGACCTTGTTTTATTTGGCACATCGGCTAGAAATACAATTCCACTTAGATGTTAAGAAGCAGCTCAGTCGATCTCCATTTTAATTTAAGCCTTGATTATACTTATAATGTGCTATTCCAAGGGATGACAGGTACCACTCATTTTTTGCAGCATACCAAGGAAAAAAGGTAAAACGATTAAAGCTCCACTAAGGAAAAAGTGACAATTCTAGAAACAGTATGATGATATGGAAAGAAATTTAACGGAAAAGTGTAGCTTTGAAAATGAAGAGGGAAGAATTCAAGACTTGTCGGTATGCTCTGTCAGTATAATTCTAGCCATCAAGCAGAAATTTTCCCTGAATACGTTTCCTGAATAAATTTTTCTGAATACAAAGTGAGAATAAACATAAGATTTTTCTGTTCAAGTGACAGCAGTCTCAACCTCTGTGCAAGGCTTGAGTGCGAGGGAAAGACAAGCCTACATTCAGAAGTTAGAATTGATTTTTAAGGCATGTTTTACTATAAAAAAAAAAAAAAAATATCAGTTAAAATTTTGGTTTACTTACATAAAAGAAGTGCCAATACCCTTTTATTTAGGGCTCCGGTGCGCTCCAGCTGAAGTTACAATTTATCTCGAAAACTGAGGAGTACCGGCGCAATTTAAGCTCTGATCATGTTTTTATAAAAAAAATGCTTAGAGTATATATATGGACTTAATATGCTTAGAGTATATATATGGACTTAATATGCTTAGAGTTTTAATTACTTGATATGCTAATTAATTTGCGATTGTTACAGCTCTTCAAATTGCTTGCAAAACACAGATAAATAAAATTTACAGTTTCATGGCAAGTAAGCTGGTTATGAGAAAAAATCATTATAACAAAAAGACTGCTGGCTACACATAAAAATATAATTTTGAAATTGAAAATAGTTTATTTTACTTCTAAATTAATAGTTTTATTTCCCTTTCTCTTATATTCAAAGATAATATCCAATATAACTAACATGAGGTACAACAATTTGCATTTATACATAAAATGTAAAACAAAAATCAATACGTAAAAGTGTACAAAAAAGGGAGATTAAAACAGTATATTCTTGACATACATGAAGATACATAATATGTAATTAATATTATATTTCTAAATTACTAATAAGAATTTTTCAATCATTCTGAGAATAAAATAAGTATTTAACATAAATAATAATGAAAAATTCTAAGTGTCTGTACAGAACATTATGTAAAATTGAATTTTTTAGTACTAAATATAAAAAATATTAAATACTGTGATAGTGAACATTGTTACAATGAGTAACAATATCAATGGTTTCTGAAATTGAATAATTATAATAAATTTGAATATCGGTAATGTAAATAAAAAGGTATTCAGGACTGAATTGACTGAAGGAAAGTTTAAAAGGTAAAGTGTAAGGCAATTTCAAATTATGGTGGATGAATATGCAGTTAATATTTGTATGGAAAGTATAGTACCATTAAAGGATTATTGGTTCAAAATAAAAGAACAGCATGTTTTTCTTCTGAAAATAAACTGTTCCTTTTATCCTCTCATGCAAGAAAAGTTGAAAGCTATCCTTTTTACAATTTAAGGTAATTTATTATTATGATTAAGCAATGTTTAAATGCAGTTCTCAAAAGTGACTGGCCAAATTTTGACAGGAATGGAGGTATTTCCAAATAACTCACAAGCCTCCATATATTCTTTAACCTTCAAAATTATAATTCTGCAGATTTATTCGTGTTAAAATTATTTCTGGGTTCTCTTCTATTATCTGGAGCAGATTCTGAAGTGTGTATATGTGAGTATGTATATAAGTGCATATATATTTGTGTGTATACACACACATACATACACAACATGCATACATAAACACATATATCCATACATGCATGGATACTTATGTATATTTCTGAATCTGGTCCCAATAACATTATGAGTACCAATTTCTGTTGCTGTTTCAAGCTGCTATTATCAGTTGCTTCAAGCGTAGAATAATACACCTGCAACATTTAGTTATATTTTTACATAATTTGATGAAAGAAGTTGGAACATTTAAAGCATTTTATTTCATTTGATTATGCAAAAAATAACAGTTCTGAATCAGTACACTCTAATGCCCATATATGAACTCTGCACGTTTAATGTGTTGCAAAAAGCATACATTTGTTCGATATACCAATTGCTAGTCATTTATGTATTCGAATGGAAATTTGGAATGTTCATTTTAGAGTATTGAAGTCAATGGAAGGAAAGTTTAATTGAAGAAATTTAAATATTCACATTCTACAGGATATTCTTTAATAAGATGAATAACAAGTTTTTTTTTATTTGTTTGTTTGTATGTTATGATGAAATGCAGTACTTACATATTAACTCATCGACCGGCTAAGTAGCATGATTGAGTACCAATTATGGACAAGATAATAATCTCATACACCAATTATGTAAGAGATATAAACATAATTGATTTAGCACCAATTATGTATTTAGAATTCTACAATAATGAATGATGACCACGGCTAAAATTTCCACCAGTGATCAACAGGATAATACATAAGTACCTGAAATATTTCATGGAATTGCAAATTTTTAAATATTATCCTGTTAAATATGCATAGTTGTAAAATAATAGAAGAATGTGATTCATGTGAATTTTAAACTGTAGTGAAATAGTGGATCTGCTATAAATGAGATATTATATGTCAGTCAAAGTCAAACGTATGAATTTTGGCCTTTTTCTAATATATTTCTACATTCAGAAATATTAAAAGTAATTTTTAAGTTCTAGAAAATATGTAAGTAGCAGATATGATGACACACTGTATTATCTGCAACATTATAATATCAGTAATATAACTTCATTCAGCAATATGTGCACTTTGTGAAATATTTGGTAGATAATAACAGTTCATTGTACCATCGAGTGAAAAATTAAATTTTTTGATACACGAACTCATATTTCAATATATTCTATTTTTAAAAATTTCAAAACCCACATACATTAAATTTTACAAAAACAGTCACCTTGAAATTTTGTTATAAAGGAATGTAATGACTAATATCAACATACTGCCATGGCTACAAAACCATGAAAATATGCAGTTCCTTATAAAATTTTCTTTAGACATTTTCAGAACCATTTACTTCTACAAAGATAGTTTTTAGTCCCATAACTTTTATGATCAAATTAAATTTCATAAATATCAACAATAATTAATTCCAATAAGCTTCCACCCATGTTCATAAAATTTAACATAATTTTTTTAAGAATAAGTTAATCAATTGCATTTAAATGCAGTTACTCACTAGCATACACGAGTTATACTAATTACCTAACTTATTAAAACTCGTACATGTTGTTGTGTGTAATACATGTAATTAGTAGTATCCAGATAATATTCAGCCTACCACTCTCTCAGTTAATACTCACTATTAATGAAAATCTAAAAAACACCACTTTCGTTAAGCAGATGTAAGAGCTTACACGTAATAAATACATATTCCTGAGGCAAACATAGCCAGCTTTTGTTTAAAACTGCCATTTCTTCCCAATAGAATACCTAAACATCTCAGTATTATTTACAAATTTAATGCAAGTTTGTTACATAGATAGTTTTATTCCTTACTATACTTACAATTAAATTAGCTAAGCATGTAATTTTCAGTTGCTTTCTCTGCATAATTTTCAAAGTTAGCATAAAGCCATACTCAAGGTAAATCTGCCTTGTGATAAATTTTAAACACCTTCTGCAACAACTACATTTTACATACTTTGCTAATTCACTACCATCCAACTAAACATTTTGTGACATAAATAACACACTCACCTAAGAGTTCACTGTAATAAAGAATCTGTAATTGCTGTAATAAACAAACACAGAATCGAACAAAAATTGCCACCAAATCAGAGTTTCAACTAATGCAGTAGAAAGTAAATAAAATTTTCCATAAACTGCCTAGATATAGATGATAAAATTAACGATAAATGAGTAACCCAATATTAGCTTTAGAAAAAAAAAAAAAAAAAAACTGCAAAAGGTTTCATACTTTTATTGCTGCCTGCATGAAATGCTATATGAATTAAACAAGCAGAAACTATATTTACAAAATTAGTACATGATAAAATAAAGAACAAATGCTAGATGGGATTAAAAGAAATGAAAATTATAATATTCTTCTAGCACTACATCACTAAAGTTTTGGTATATCGCGAAGAAATATTTCAACAGCTTCAGACAGAAAAGTGTTCATTTTTACATACTCTACTGTAGGTAGGTTTTTCGGCAAGCATGTACGAATTGGAGAACTGAATTCCGCAATTCCTAATGAATTTGGCGCTTCAGAATCATTGCAAGACTTTTTCAGATTTTCCGTCAAACATTTACTAATTTTTCGCAATGCTTTTTTGCATAAATATGTTGGGGCTGAATCATGATTCTCCACGCAAAGTTTAGCAAAGAGTGTTTTAACCTCCCTTATGAATTGATTGAGAAGTATTGATGCCAGGACTCCTGCTCGAAATATATCATATGGAACAAATTCTGGACTCTGACACTTCATATGCTGTACAAAAGTATCTTTCTGATGTACAGGCAAGTCACCAATCAATTTTGTTAATAAATCGGAATAAATATCACCAGTCAAGCCATCATCGGAACTATAGCCACTAATAGTATTATATGCTCGCATTAAACGATCTTCAACAGCAGGATGATAAATTGTCATATCTTGCAAAAGATGTACAGCTTTTGCAACAAGATTCGTTTCACATTCCATTTGAAAATGCTCGGCAAGAAACCTGATTGGATCATTTGGTTTAATCTCTAACAAAGCCAAGAGAGCATGTTGTAAAACACTATCAAGATTTTCTTCCTCCATAGCAAAAAGACAGTGAGAAATTAATTCGTATTATAGGTAAAGTAATATTTTCAATTTCGCGTGTTCGTAGCAGACGATTCCTTAATGTTGTTGCCATTCGCATTATGGTATCGCTTTTCTAACCCTAACGTCAGAAATTCAAACTTCATACGCTTGTTAACTTATAAAAGAAAAAAAGACTCTATTTACTATTTCAGAGTTCTTTTTTAATACCAAAAGAAAAATCTATATTTGAAATAAAGTGTAACACAACAAATAGTAGGGTGCTACTGAAAGACGCCGTTGGATTTGTTTTGGCGTTATTACTCAGTTTGACTTTTCTTAACGTTCTTGTTGGAAAAGTTCGGAACTCTGAGGAGCAGTATCCTCTTCGTTAATTGTAGAAGAAGATAATCTTCTGTTTATGTCCTTTTCCTTTTGAGAATTTAAATTAATCCTTCATGGATATAACCTGAAATCCCATGGTCAAGGTAAGATGTTTTTCCTTTCCCCTTCTTCATTTATATTAGCTTTTACTGCTCATTATTTGTGATTTTAATTCGACAACATTCGATGGTATGCTTCTGATAAAGTTAAATTCTTTATCAAGTTCTTCGCTGACACACGAGTCGGTGTCTAGAGTGAGGGTGAGTGAGAGATTATGGCGCAAAAACCAAGATGATTATGACGCGCCAAACACAAGATGAGATGATTACAATTGATGACATTAAAATTCAATAAATAAAAACAAGTAGATAAATGTACCAAATCCAGAGGATGAAGTCATATAAAAAAACAAGTTAAAAGCACATATTAAAATTCAAGACACAGTCTTCAAAACAAATTACATTTGGTAATAAAAGCCAATCTCTTTTAAATAATAAAATAAATTACAATTGACCTCTCTTCCGATTAAACGGTCGAGAGGTAAGTCACAGCTATTAAAATATTTCTGGCGAAGACTATTAAAACATGGACACTCAATTAAAATATGACGAACAGATAAACAAACATTACAATTAAAACAAACAGGCTCATTTTCAGCTTTTAAAAAGGTAGTTATGTGTCACTCTAGTGTGACCAATTCTGAGGCGAGTCAAAAAAGAACTTCCTCCTTACGATTTTCCAGCAAAATTCCCAATGCTCAATTCTAGGTTTTACATGTCTTAACTTGTTTTGAAGCTGAACATCCCAAATTTGCTGCCATTTTTTTCGGATCTTCCTGTTTGACATGACACAACAGATGTCTCTAAAAGGGATAAGGCGACTGGACAGTTCAACAGCAGATTTTGCTGCGATATCTGCAAGCTCATTTCCCTTTATTCCCACATGCCCGGGAACCCAGCAGTACAGGATTTCATATCCTCGAATCGTTAAAGTTTATATGAATTTTGAGAACATCCACTACCACAGGATTTTGAGTGTTGGGAAAAGCTTCCAAGGATTTAAGAGCACTATACGAGTCTGTATAAACTATGAACTTTTTGTGGCAGAGCTTTGAGATGTACAAAAGACATAATATATTGCAGTTAGTTCAGATGTTAGGACAGAGAAAGCATGGTGCAAGGCATCTGCCCTCCATGTAATCTTCAAATACAAATGCCATCCCGACATGATCATTTGACTTTGATCCATCTGTATAAACTGGATAATAACTGCTATATTTGTGCCTGTGCTCAGCGAAGAGTTGTCTGTAAACGATCTCGTTAGTGCTTGCCTTCACGTGATGTTTAAAAACATCAAGAAGCTGAATCCGTGAATTTTCCCAAGGTGGGATTTCAAAATTCTGTACTGCTTGGGGGTGCATATCAGAGAGGGAAAGTTCCTCAATGACAGGGCGAACTCTTAAAAGGAAGGTAGGAACACAGGATGGACGTGTTTCAAATAATGTGTTACACTCATTATCAAGTAAGCACAGCTTATTGGGATGTTCAGGTTGGGATAGAATATTAAAATATAGCAAAAGGGACAATTGCTCACGCCTCAGATAAAGTGATGGTTCGTTAGAGTCAACATATAGGCTCTGAACAGTAGAAGTCCTGAAAGCTCCTGAACAAATCCGCAGACCTTGATGGTGAACAGGATCCAGTTTTAACAAAACAGATGACCGAGCGGATCCATAAACAACTGAGCCATAGTCCAGTCTAGAGCGGAATAAGCGCTCTGTAAATGCGAAGCATGGAGCAACGCTCTGCACTCCAGGAGGTGTTCGCCAACACTTTTAAAATATTTAGTGTTTTTAGACACTTCTTTCTCAGGTTTAAAACATGAGAAAGGAAAGTCAATTTTCGGTCGAACGTCACTCCTAAAAATTCTACTTCAGGCGCAAGTGGAATAATTGTACCATTCAGATATAACTCAGGTTCAGGATGGAGACCACGCTTCCTACAAAAGTGCACGCACACAGTTTTCTGTTTTCGAAAAGTAAATCCCTGTTTGTCGGACCATTCTTGGATCTTATTCAGAGCCATCTGCAATTGCCTCTCTACGTATCTCATGTCTGCTCCTCGACAGCTAATCTGTAAGATCATCAACATATAGAGATCCCAAGATGGTGGGAGGAAGTTCTTTTAAGTACAGAATTTATTTTTAAACTAAACAGGGTTACACTAAGCACACAGCCTTGAGGCACACCCTCTTCCTGTTCAAAAACATCCGAAAAAACAGAGCCAATTCCTTACTTGAAAAGTTCTAGTGTTCAAGAAAAGAAATTCTGAATGAAAATTGGTAGGTTGCCGCGCAAGCCACTCTCGTGAAGATCCCGGAGTATACCGTATCTCCATGCCTTATCATAAGCTTTCTCAATGTCGAAGAATATCGAGACAAGGTGGCTTCTTCTTACAAATGCTTTTCGAATAGATGTCTCTAAGAGGAGCATGTTATCTACGGTTGTTCTTCCCTTTCGAAAACCGCTCTGATAAGGCGATATAATATTCATTCTTTTCCAAGAAGTAGACTAGGCGGCTGTTTACCATCTTTTCAAACAGTTTGCAGACGCAACTCGTAAGGGCAATTGGCCGATAGTTCGAGGGATTCCTTGGATCTTTCCCTGGCTTAGCAATAGGAATGACAACAGCTCTCCTCCATGCACTGGGAAAAATACGCTCCTTCCACACTCTATTGTAAAGAGTGAGAAGGGCATTCAGTGACTTATAGGACAGATGCTTTAGCATTTCATAATTCACGCCATCAAGACCCGGAGAAGACCTATGTGTCTGCAACAAAGCTCTCTTTAATTCCAGCATAGTAAAGTCTCTATTGTAAGGCTCAGATTTGGAAGAGTTGAATGCGATGGGATTTATTTCAGAGTGCTGCTTGATAGAGAGAAATGCAGGTGAATAGTTTCTGCTGGAAGAAACGGCAGCAAATGTCTCACCAATAGTATTCGCAATTTCTTCTATGGAGCTAATCACTCGGCCATCTTTTTCCAAAAAGGAAAGTGAGTGGTCTTTATATATTCCGCATGCTTTTCGAACTCTTTCCCAAACCCGCTTACTAGGCGTAGAGGATGTTATTGACGACACATATGAAATCCAGGAATCCCTCTGGCTCTGCCTTCTTACTTTTCGTGCATTTGCTTTGGCTCTTTTAAAGGCTATGAGGTTTCGCAGAGTAGGATATCTACGAAAAATACCCCATGCTTTTTTCTGTTTTTTCAGTGCTTCATGACAGTCGCGATTCCACCATGGTTTCGAATATTTTAGTATTTTTCCTGATGTTCTAGGAATGGAAAGCATAGCTGCCTCAATAATAGTATTAGTAACAGCTTCAACAGCATCATCGATATGCGCATCTTCTACCATTTCATCTGTGAGCTCTGCAATGGAAGAGAAGAGTTCCCAGTCTGCCCTGTCCAGTATGAATCGAGGGGATCTCGACATGGGGTTTGCTCCTCTTCGTGCAAGAGATACAAAAATGGGATAATGATCGCTGTTGTAAAGATCATTACCGACACTAAAGGTGCAAAATGGCAACAGAGATGGTGAACAGATGGCAAGGTCGAGAGCGTGGAATGTCCTTGAAGGCTCATGGAAGTAAGTATCTGCCCATTATTCAGGAGACAAAGGCTATGATCTTCGATCATCTGCTCAATTTGTCTTCCTCGGCAATTTGTATCTTTACTACCCCAGAGCGGACTATGGCCGTTAAAATCTCCTATTATGATGAAAGGCTCAGGCAGCTGCTCTAAAGACCATTTAAATCTTGCTGATCAATGTGCTCATTTGGAGGCAAATAAGAGAAACGACTGAAACAACAATATCAAAATTTGTTTGAGTAGCGACAACTTGGAGGGATGTCGTCAAAGGAAAGGAACTTGATGGATAGTCCAGTGAGGTGAGGAGACCTACACCTCCACTGGCACGCTCAACTGCAAGGTTATCCTTCCTGACGAAAGAAAACCTCCGAAGTTTTGCTTGTTGTTCTGGTTTCAGATTTGTTTCCTGTATTGCGAAGCACACAGGATGATAAGCATTGATTATAGCTTTGATGTCAAGCAAATTTCGGTGGAAACCGCGACAGTTCCATGAAACGAGGGTGGCCATTATGTTTGATGTTTGTTTTTCTGTGTTTGCTTTTTAGTTTTGCGCGGAAGCAGATGTTCGGGAACTTCCAGACCCTCTCCACTTCCATACTATCTGAATCTACAGATTCAGAGATCATTCCATCTAGAGAACTATTGCTGGGACTTCTATTTTTTTAATTGATTTTTCAGGGACATTTTTTGGTTTGCTTTGAATAACTATTTCTTTATTTTGTACTACGTGTGTTGGATTTTCCTTTTTTTTTGCTTGCAGGTTGATGGGTTTTATTCTGTGCTGTCTGTGTATATTCTTTTTAGCTGAACAAGTATTTAAGTCTTTTTATGCTTGTTTGATTGAGGCTCTTGCTTTATAGTTAAAATTTAATTTCAGCATTACCCTCCCAAAGAAAATCATCATTTCGAATTGGTTTTAAAACGTTACACAACTGTAGGAGTTAAATGTGGCATGTTAGCAGCGAAAGACACCCGTTGTTTCGTGTTTTCCAAAATCCTAGAATGCAGAGAAAATAAAAAGATGGGATTGACAACTAATTTATCATGCAGGGGTCACCCCATCTTCACAAAGAGGCTGTGATATGATCACACATAGCTT